GCACACACACACACACACACACACACACACACACATATATATACACACACATTATATGTGTGTGTGTGTGTGTGTGTGTGTGTGTGTGTGTGTGCGTGCATGTATATTCATCATTGATGCATAGTGCCCCAAAAGGATGCCTAAGAGATGCTGTACCAGTGAGTCGGCAGGTTCCCACGATGGCCTCCAGTTCTCACCTGGTGAAGCGCACCTTGCAGATGACACACTCGTAGGGCTTCTCGCCCGTATGCGTCCGGATGTGTCTGGGCAGTTTTCCTGCTCCCTGGATCACCTTGGAACAAATGGGACACTTCTGGAAGGCCTTTGACCTAATCTTCTTCTCCCCGCTTCCCCCACTGTGCTGTGTTGCCCACAGGGGCAGCAGGTCCTGTGGCACATGGCCCCCCTTGTGCGCTACACTGTTGAAGTAGTTCAGGTAGAACTCCACCGTGGCCTCATCCGCACCATCTGCCGGCTCCTTCCGGCCCACGGAGTCTATCATCTCCTGCAGCAGTGCGCTAGCTGATACACCGTATGGCTCCACCTCACTCTTGAGGTCTTCTGGAGGGCAATGGTGTCCATTCAGGGAGGGAGCCCCAGCCTGGATGGCCCTCTGCCACATCGAAGTGACCCTCTCATCTTCCTCTTCATTTTCATCCTTGGGGTCTGGCTTGAGCAGGTGGGCTGGGGGTGAGCAGTGTCCATGACGTGCCTCATCATGCTGGGCACATGGCAGAGGGCTGGCTGGAGCAGGAAGCGAAGGCATGTCCCTGAAATCTGGTGTTGCACTTCCCTCCCAGTGCGCCCCCTTCTGGAAGTACTCCAGGTACTCACGTGCCCACAGTCTCTTTGTTTGCTCCCCCTCACCAGCTCCTGCCTGCTCCTCCTCCTCCATTTCTTCCCCTTCGCTGTGCTCACAGCCAGCCTGCACGTATAAACAAGGCCAAGTGCGGTCCATGTGACACCACGTACACCAAGGAAACCCCAAATACGCTCCTTCGGGGACACAGGATGTGCTGCCGTCTGCCGTAACTCAGACGCTAATTTATTGAAGTACTTAAATAAGTCGGTGATTAGCACATTATCTGAAACCTCTATATAATCGCAATCACATATAATAAATGTTGTTCAAACTAAATTTTAAATTCTTTAAAACTTATTTTGTATGCAAGTCTATATATGGATATTTAGATCAGTGTTCCTCAAACCAGTCCTCAGGGAACCTCTCCTTGTTCTCTCCCAATTCCCTAAAAGTTGGGAGGAAGGAAAAACGTGGGCTGTCTTGAAAAACACTGACTTATATCAAATGGTATGAATTCTCAAGGATGAGGCTATCTGACTCAGAGCTATTGCGTGCGCTGACATGAAGTGTTTCTATGTTGTGGTGCACATGCAAGCCAGCAGGTGGCGCACCGGCAGAGAGAGCACTTTTGCATCCAGCAGGTGGCAGCAGACGTCCCGCACTGGGGCGATCTCCAGCAGCCGAGCAGCACTCAGGACGTCCTGTACGCTGGCGTGACTGACGGTCAGGGTCGCAGTGTAGGCGAAGTCTAACAGGGTGGCCAGGGCCTCAGCGCGCACGAAGTCGATGGCGTAGACGCTCTGGCGGTCGGCGGCGGCGCCCGAAGTGAAGAGCTCGTGGAAGTAGGCGCTGCAGGTGGCCAGGACGGAGCGGTGGGCGGGGAACTCGTGGCCCTGGGTGACGAGCAGCACGTCGCAGAGCAGGCCGTTCAGGCGTTGCTCGTTCAGGCCGACCAGGAGCTCTGCGCTGTAGTCTGGGAAGGGGATCCCCACCGGGCCCTCCCCTGCATCTCTGGGTCCCGCCCCACCCCATCGCCCACTTGTGACCCTTGACCCCGATGACATCATCCAGCCGCCCGCCACCAAACCGCGGACTGCAACCACTGCTTGTGCAAAAGTCCTTACGTCGGTTAACTTGTCTGCAGAGGGGAGAGCCAGACGCCGACTACGTTAATGAGTATATACTTAATGCATCATACCTCAATCGCATCCAAGGAGAAGCCCAATGACCACTGATGTCCACACATGCTGCTACATGAACAATCGAGAGACATCAATTAGCTTAACTGCATACCAGAGTACCTGAAAGAAACCTGCACAAGACAGGGAGAACATGCTACCTCCACATACACAGAGTGCATACAAGATCCAAACCCTGGAGATGCAGGGCAGCTGTAGTACTGTTGAGCGAATAGTGATCTGAAGAAGTGGAAAGCACAGACCCAGGTGCTGGTGAGCTGCGAGATAGGATGTCAGTCTGGAGTGGGATACCCTACCCATGGATGTGTGTCAAGTTCCTGTCCGGCCACATGCATGTGCTGGTAAACGGGAGTAGAAGTTAAGAAAGGAAAAAAAAACTGAGAGCAAGTACTACACACAGGATCTAGGGTGCAGTTCTGGCAAGCCGAATCTGACGACTATGCAGGTTGGGGGGCGAGGGAATTAAAAATCACAGCAGCTCCTAACAGACAGCAGGTCCCCAGCCATTCCTCTCCCACACCTACCAGCCAGCCGACACTCCACACAGTATGTTACAAATAACATACTTCCTGCTCATTGCAGTATTTTGCAAAAAGATGAACTAAATATATTACAGTTCCCTTTGTTAAACAAACAACACAGGTGAACCAATCAATTACAATTACGGCATATAATTAAAATAGTTAAAATTCTAAGACTGAAAGAAGTTAACTGAGGACACAAACACTTCGACGGTTACTCAATCTGCAGAGAAATGTGGAGTGTGAACACCAACCCAAAACAAACCCACCCAGCTGCAGCAACTCCGCGCAGCGAGTCGACGGACCACGTCCAGATTCAACCCTACCACAGGCTTTATCAAAGGGGTCCTGCTTTTCCCCCTGGATTTAATGGCTGATAAGATCCTGGGAACTGGGCCCACGCATCAGCAAACTCAGGCACACACCCAGCAACCCGAGATAGAGAAGAATCAGAATTCTGTATTGCATTGACAGCAAGGACCTAGATTCCCAAAGCCAGTTAAACTGGTCTGTCGGTGGTCATGTAGCAAGCAGCTTGTTTTTTTATTTATTCAATCAGTACATTTCAAAAGAACTCTCAAATTTTGAAAATTTGTCACATACACAAATATAGAGTACAATGTACAGTGCAATGCACAGATGCCAAACTCCAGACTGTGGAAACAGGAGACATGAGGTTATAATTTAATTTTTGCTATAATGTGTATTGAATAAACTGTTAAGCCCAGTACATACAAGAGATCTAATCTTGTAGCCATACAAGGCACTTTTTTTAATTAATCTTAATCTTGCCAGGGCTTCAGCGATGCTGCGTTGACCCAGTGATTCTGCCATGCAATGTGTTTGCAAAGGTGGGGCTCAAGTTCAGCTCCACACACATCTGTGCACTGTATGCATGAAGTAAACCAGGGATGGAACAGTTGCCGGTTTCATGGTAAACAATGGTAAAATTCCTGATGATTAGTATTATTGTGTCAAATTTGAATTAACATTAAAACCATGGTTGATTGCTGCCCATTGGAAAACTCACGTTAAATACTGTCCAGCAAACAAAGTTAGCAACAGTCTGAACATTTTCAGCACATTTTAATCAATACTGCGATAATACTGATAACCATGATAACTTTGGTCACTATAGTTCATCTCTAGAGTCAGCTATGACCTGTGACTTAGCAGTAGATGCTGAAGTTACTGCGATGTCATGGAACAACAGAGTGTTCGCAGTGGCATCATATTTTAGTTACCTAGGTCAATGTTTCCCAAACCAGTCCCCGGGGACTCCAAGATAGTCCACATTTGTGCTCCCTCCCAGCTCCCGGTAGCAAAAAACTAGACTGCCTGGAGGTCCCTGAAGTCTACATTGGGAAAAACTGACCTAGACTGCAACCTAAACAGGTATTTACCACATATACAGCACTTACTGCTTAGTGCACTGGGAAACTTCTTTCTTGTCAATGAAACTTCACAAGCAGATGGTTTGCCTTTACTAACCTACCTCATATTACAGATCATCTCACTTGTGGACGTCAACAGCTAAGTTATAATTCTTTAGTTAAGGTCTAGGCATGCCATTGCAGAGCTTAAAGCTCATAATAAGAACAGAAAATCCTAAAATGCTATGGAACACCCCAGCCCCACCCAAAATTAGGGAGCAACACAAGATGCTTGTTAACTAAACATGGCTTGAGGGATTAGGAAGGGGGTGTGTTCTCTCCTAATCAGCAGTAAGATGTGCTTTTCCAGTCAGGTACCTGACCTACGCCATCCCGACTCGTCCTGTCCAATCAGCTGACAGACATGTTCCCAGATGCGATGCAAACCCGGGGCCCTTGACTTCACTGCTTCCTACTGACGTCCAGTAAAGCCAGGTAACCAGACGTTCCACCTGGCCGAATGCCAAGCAGAACCCCCACCGGACACATGTGCTGGCATGAGGCCTCAGTCGGAGAGGGGGGGGGCAGCTACACTTACCACCAAAAAGTGCTTCACTGAGATCTTTGCTGATGCTTGAACAGCAAAACCTAACAATTCTCTTCATACCCTCATCATGCCAAACTAGCTAAGTATCAACCAGCAAAACCATTCTAGCCAGACAGCTTCCTCATGCTGCATCACAAAAACAAAACTTACTGTTACTAGACATCTTTGAAAACTACTCACTGACTCCTATTATATTTCAATCAATAATCCCACAGCAACAAAAGTCTGACACTAGCAAATGTGCTCCTGTAGGATTTGCATATTTTCTAACTTCTTCCTCAGGCAATAAATTAGGAAAATTAGTCACCTGTCCAAAGATTAAGCTCATTATAACCCCATGCATTAGAAAGACTTCCTAAACAATAACTAAAAGCTGCTTTTTTAATCATCATTGGTATGTGAGCAGTTATAAACTGACGAGAAATCAGTTTAATAAATATTAACTTAAAATTTGGGGGGGATATTTCCACTCTTCTACCAAAAGTGAAATATTAGCAAGTTGCTGTTAAGATTCCGATTAGCCTGTCCTGGCTATTGCTAAGCAGGAAATTTATCAGTAGCATCGGACAAGCCCAATCCTGATCCCAGACCAACAGACCTACCACACTTCTCTATTTTCAGCCTACTACCCTAACTTCTACTCTTTCCCTTTGACTGGCCAGCTGGCCTTTCACTTACCACACCTCCCTGATGAGATTGGATGGCTGCCATTCCTTTTCCTGAGGCCAAACGCAATGCACTTTGGGAAAATGAGTCCAGAACTCCAACTTTAGCCACTTGAGATCAGTCCCTAAACTACATATCCCAGTTCTCCCCTACCCTTTCCTCCACCCCCTGCCCCCAAATGCCACCTTCCAACTCCATCCAACGTAAGCAGCATGAGCAGAATTATACAGTACAGTACCGTGCCAGGAGGATGTCAGGCACTGAAAGCACAGACAAAAACCTCAAGTGCAGCCTATTGCAGGACAGGAACTGCACCCTTCCCTGGTCCGAAAACATGCATGTGTCCCATCTGTCTTTCGAGATCCATTTTTACTTTCTCGAAGAAATCCCCTCTAGACCCTTGACCTAAATTAATGCATTTCCCCCTACTTAAAATTTAAACTTGCACCAAGGGCTACGCAAAAATTGACCAAAATCAAATGCATACACTGAGCAGTACTCTATTTACTGAAGGGGACTTGAAAGTCAGCTTCCCAAGCACAGTGCATCATGCAGCTTTGCACCATACCTTGTCCGTTTCCTTTTTGGGATTCCTTTCTTGCTTGCACCCCATTCTACCTGCAAAGTACAAACCTACACTTTACAAGTTAAAGAGCTAGACAAACACATGCTAGTTTGAAGAAAGTCGAAATGTGCAGGGAGAACTGATCTCAACGATATATTTATAAAAAAAAAAAAAAAACACTCATCCCAGTGTCTGTGACCCCACCCCCACCCTCTGACTACCACGGGGGGGGGTTGGCAGCCAGGCCCAAGGGGGGACAGCAATGACATTTGCTCACCTGCATCAGCAGCGAGGGGATCTTGCTGTGACTCGGCTGCTCTCTCTCCAGGGCTGGCTCTGCTCGCCTCTCTTACCCCCTCAGCAGAGCTCTATCCTGCCCCAGTTGTGCGCTGCTCGGATGTCCGTGTGCACCAGCCAAACGGCGTCAGCGGCAGCCTCAACTCGGCTCCCTTCCTGCTTTCTGGAGGGCAGCGAGGTCCCTCCCTCTCCCATTCTCTCGCACAGCCTGGCTCTTAAAGGAGCAGCACTTCAGCAGGCCCCCACCCTGCTGTAAACACCCCTCCTGCATCATCATCGCGGGACCACATACTTACAAAAATCATATTTTCCATTTTTAAACACCCAGTCAAAAGAAAAGCATAGGCGAATTTAAATAGTGTCATCATTGGAACCCGGGTAACATTCAAACTTAGACTTTTAAATTACTCCACTCCCAGAATCTGTTCTGTAAATCACAGTAATTCTTTCCTCCTCTTCTATTTTCCAGGTCTATCCTTGAGTAATTAATTGCCTGCCCCCCCCATCTACCCCAAGGCCTGAGAACATGGCGTCCCACCCCAGCATTCTGCTCAGCCACGTGTCACTAACTCACACCTCCATCTTACTTTTCAGAAAAGCCCACCATGCACACAGAACTCCCCGACTTTCAGCTCAAACATCACACCTCTCAAAGGACACGAGGGTTACACAATAAGTTATAATAGTCAGATGAAAGTGTATAGAAGAGCCGGCTTCAAAACTCACTGTGTACTTGCTGCACTAACTACAACTTAACTCCTAAACGTCCTGGACATGTGTTCGCATGTAAAATATAGCAGAGTCAGAAGGCTACCACAAGACATTAAAACGATGCAATAATTTCCAGCAATCCATTACCCAATATCGCCCATTTTCAGGGATGGACATAATGGGTACAGTATGCAGTCACCTTTAAAAACCATACGTGCGACAATCGATTGTGGCAACAGTGTAAATGCGTACTTATTTCATGTGCATTTGCGCTGATATGAAAAAAATAATGCATTTCAATCTTTATATGCTACCTCTGCTTCACTTGTGGTATACAGGTTAAAATGCAAGGTATTTTCTTGTCATAGCAGAGCAAATGCACATGAAATAAGTACGCATTTACACTGTTACCACAATCGATTGTCGTACCAGTTATGTCCATCCCTTCCCATAATACAGATACCCATTACTCGTCAGTTTAAGTCCTTAATGACCACTGTCTAAAAAAGGAATTCGTATCCTGGAAAGTCTTCCAAAAGGTCCCCAGCATTTTTTCTCTGCCTCTTCTACACACTTCCACCTGACTATTTTCCAACTTAAGCATATAATCTTAAACCTTGACTATTACTGAATTGTCACGCATCTTACTGCATCCGTTTTAAGTCACTAAACAGTCTTGATGATGTCACATGGAAATCAATCTTCACACCTGAGATTTCCTTTAGATTTCCCCTGCCTTCCTACCCTAACCCTTACTATTAAGTTCTTCACCATTTGTTAAACACTTGAAAACCTCCCCATTTCAGGAATTCAGTCAAACTACTCCAAATGCACCTATCCACCTTGAAAGGCTTTCTTACACAGAATGCTTATACAGGTCAAAAATAATTAAAAAAAAAAAAACAAACATAAGTTTTTATAAGTCTTCATTTCACATGCTATTTATTGACCATAAAACTTTAAGACCTTTTTCCAACAGCTTTTGTTTTACTACAAAACTTCCCCATTCTAAAGCATTAGAGAAAACCCACAAGAACATACAAGCTGGCAAAGTACCCACAAACCCAAATAGACAAGACAAAAGCTGTCGTCCCAAATATATATTTCAAACAAAAATAGATTCTTTCCTTCACCAGTCCTGATTGTTTCAAACAACATATTCTCACCAGTTACAGTACTAGACCATCATACCAATGACCCTCCAAAGGAAAAAAAAAATAAAAAATATATATATATATATATATTTTAAGTTACATTCAATCCACACACTTTAGAAGGCAGAACCTGAAACAATGCATACCATTTCTCCGTATGTGGACATGTATACACTTGTATGTGTAAACATCCAGGTTTCAATATATACATATTTTCATATCACATAGAAAGACAAATTTGAAATTACACAAATGCCACCTTGCAGGTGTAATTACTCAATTTGTATAATTATTTTAAACTTTCACAATATGAAAAACACAGCACATTTATTTAAAAAGGGAAAAGCAAGACCCAAAGCATAAGAAAAAACAGAAATCCAGCATGAGCTGAAATTAAATTAACACATTTAAGATGCAGAAGGCAAAAAACAGCCAAAAAAAACCAAAAACACACCTGCCTGACATCTGGGCTTGTACACAATGAACCAGGATTCGTCCTCATAACACCAATAGCAAAATTAAATGAACAAAATGTTTTTATACAAATCAAGAAAGGGATAGTCTTACTAAAGCAATTCAGAAGCTGAGGTTTCTCAAGGGTACCAGGATTCACCAATGGCTTGAACTAGAATTGTTCAAGTTACAGGTATGTTGCCCTTAACAGCTAGATCACCCTCAATACTGCAGCTCAATCAGCAACAATCAGCTAGTAGGAGCTAACCTCCACAATGACCTGCTCAGGCTGCACCACGTACATTCCGGTACTGTAACCTCTGGGGAAACACGCAGACAATGCGATAAAATTACTGGCATCGCAATCGAGGAAGTAGGCAACCAAACTTGACCAGAACTCACAGCTAAGCTTTAGCACTTTGCAAAGGGGTCCTAAAAGAAGAAAGGTGATCCCACCATGAGACACTCCTATACACACAGCCGCAGGAACAAGCATGGCGCGGTACTTTTGAAAAAGGAAAAAAAAAAAATTCACCAATACTGTTTTCAGACAACACCCAGACCTAAAGGCCACAAAACACTCACCAAATGTGTTGGAAATAAAATCTAGCGTAAGAACCACGCTAAGGGTTAATCATTACAAAAGCACTATATTGGCCATTTTAGTTCTGACGTTTGACCACAATGTTAGAATTGGTAGTACGAGTAATTTACCCTGTTTTATCGCAGGTCAACTTGCCAGACTAACAGTATGAAGAGAGCAAATTTAATGCCTATTTAAGTAATAAAAATAGACTTCACGATGGAAATTGAAACCCTGGAGTTTCAATTTCACCCACCACACTGAGCTACTGACATTTGTTTCAGTATTCTAAGGCTGTGTGCCTAAACGTTAAACCAGAAACAGCATTTTGGTTTTCGGAGAATCAACACCAGTCCTTGTCATAAAATTACCAGTACGGGCATGTCCGTAAGACTTCGTTACAGGCTTCTGAGTCAGATGACTTCACTTTGAGACAGTAAAATTAGTATAAGCTAAAACGGACTCTGCTGGCACTTTGTAAAACTCGTTAAATTCACATGTACGTGTTTCAGATCCGGTGTGTGTGGGGGGTTGATTTTACACTTTAGTAACTTATTCATAATCTTCTCCAAAGACACCGCAAAACCTGAAATGCACGATACCTTTTTTTTTTTAAATTCTGCTTGAAAAAGTAAAAAGGGCCAAAAATGTTCTATTTTGTTATCAGGTTTTACTACAGTAAAACAGGCGCTGTGGGAAAAGTCCTCAAAAAAAGAAAACAACAAATAAATTAAAAAAAAACACTATACCCAAGCGATGTGTGTGTTATGTGCGTATGCACACACATGGCGCTCAAACACTGGTGCGAGTTGGGGTGCTGGGCTGGTTCAGGCCCATGGTTCTGCACAGCCAGCCTGCGAAGTCAACCTCCTCCACCTCGGAGCGCTTGATAAACGTGTGGTTCTGAACACAGGAACAAAGAGGAGACTTTCAGACAAGCCGTCAAAACACCAAACCTGATTCAAAACTTTGTCTACCTGCTGCACTGAAAACTAACTATGGCTCGACCAATGTTTATGCAGCTGGCCAGCACACTGACCAATCCGGTCCTATAAGTCAAATATTTGCTAGCCAATGGCATAATTGACAAAATGACACGGCTCACCATTAACATCTTCAGGTCAGCTCTCTCTGCTGGATTTTTGATGAGGCTGTGGAAACACAAGAAGAACATAATACGACATCATTACTACATTATCGGTCACTCTGCCTCAGCCAAAGACAGACCGAGTGGAAACTCACCATTTCGTGACAAACTCGTGGAAGTCCGTGGTGAAGATGCCGTGCGGTAGCTTGGGCGGAGGCTGGTGGGAATGAAAAAATGGTAAAAGTAAAACAGACAGATATAGCTGTGCGATGTGAAGTCAATGGGGCTTTAGTGTTGTACCATCTATATACAGGGATACAGGGCCGTGAAGTAACATTTCACCAGGACCACAGTGCAACATAGAAACAGCATGTGGCCAGGGAGGGCTTCACTGTACTTCACCGTAGCACACAAAAACAGGGAAGAAAGCGAAACGAGGGTGTGGAGTGAAGTCAAGGGTTTATATGTATACACACACACACACACACACACACACACACACACACACACAGGATAATATATCATACATGGCTCAAAGAAAGTCTTCGGATGTTTGTTTAATTCTGGATTGCAATTCTAGTCTCTGGTACCCAAAGGGATATTAAACAGAAATGTTTGGCATTTTACGTTACTGCAAAGGCGTTAACACTTATACACCCCACGAGACCGCTTGCCAATTAACTTTTTAACTCGGAACAGGGGAGTGTTCCACAACAATGGATTTCTTGCTTAGCTGGATAACTTGTTGGATTTAAGGTAGTCTGGGCTAAATGGACTTCACCTTCATTTACTTACATTTAGCTCAGACTACCTTAAATCCAACAAGTTATCTGGCGAAGCAAGAAATTCTGCTTCGTGAAACACCCGCCAGTTATTTTAGAACGATAATTTGGGTTCCAATTTACTCCTACTTGAAAAGGATGTTACTGGTTCTTTCTAATGTGATATATATTTTTTTGTAAACAAATTGTTATAAAACCAATTAATTTCGAGTTTTTACTGAATTAAGCAAGCAACCCAAGATTTTCTGTGCACATTGTGCATAAACAAAGCAGCATAAAAGCATGAAAAATATACAGAAATTGAAGAAACATAATAATTTGAAGACAAGCAATTCCCCAGACCTCATTCACAATGTAGTCCAGGAGCTCAAAAATGGCCATTGCAGGACCATGTCCTGAGGCAGAGAGAAGAGATGATCAGCAAAGCACATTACATCAGTTACTTATCAGTTAACAAGCCCCAAACGACAGAACTCCATGGAACATGATCAGTTAGCCATGGCTCACCACTGACTGGCCGTCCCGGGGGCCTGGGGCGTGGGGAGGTACTGTGGATACCTCCTTCAGCCCCATCAGTCACAGGGCGGCCAAAAATAGTCTCCAGCTCCTTGGCGTCTGGAGGAGGGATGGGATAGCGACCGATGGATAACTCCACCAGGGACAGGCCCATGCTCCACACATCCGACTGCACCGAGTAGTGAGTG